CGGACAGAATTTCCATTCCAGATCTAATGATTGGACTAGCGCCGTTATTGCTGTTACGTGGCGATCCGTCAGTTTTCTCTCGGTCTACTGGTGTCTTCCTATCCGCCAACGGAGTGGTACTCACCGTCGCCTGACTGGCGGGTGATGCCGACTTCCGTCCGACGGGAGTACGATTTCCAGAAGACTTTTTCTCCGTGTGATTATTATCACTTGCACTTACACTATCCTGACCACTAACACTGTGAACACTCGCTTTCGATGCTGGTCTACTTTCGTCGGTAGACTTCTTTGAGACAACGTTGGTCTCGTACGGCTTGAACGCTAGCGACTTCCCATCCGACGGGCTGCTACGGGTACTTCGCTCCAATTTTGCAGCTGGCGGAGATTTCGCGTTCGCACCGCCGTTCATGCTTTTTGGGGTTTTATCCAGAGGAGAGATCAAGGGTTTTGATGGCGAATCGGCACCAATTTGACTGCATGTCTGTGCCAACAAAGCTAATGGACTCTTCTTCGCATCCAACTGTAAAGTAAAATGTAAATATGAGAAAAATATTTGAGAAACTCAAAACAACTGGTTTTAGAAACTCAAAACCAAACATATAGGAGCGTTATGTTCAAATGTGAAATGGAGTACAGCAACCCGCCGGATAGCGCGCATCGTCGGTGTACAGAAATTGGAGCCAAGTTTAATTTTACGTTACTACCTTCAATTTATATATTCGTTTTTGTAAAAAAAGCCCAAGTCTAATGAAATTGGTATAAAAATTCAGATTATTTACTTTTCCCGAAATAATGCTCCGATTCGAATTTTGCTTCGAATGCGTCGAACGAAAGAAAATGTTTTCGAAAATGAGTACTAACCGTGGTTGGAAGCGGAGAAAGATAATCCGGTTGAAGATATTGATTATGTCCAGTAGTCAGCATACCGCCTTCCTCTAGGACAACCATTTGGTTTAACACTTATTAAACCAATCACTGCACAAAATCACAGATGTATTCCCACAATGCACGATTAAAAAACAATCTATTAGTCCGGTGAACGTTTTGAACGTCGAAACACGATCACGGCTGTACGTGTTAATTAATCGATCCTTCCACAATGCAAAATGATTAAACGCAAACGACATACACCCAACGAAATCCAGGAAAATAGTGGCAGCTCTCGACGGAGCTGTTCAATGCACGAAGTGGAATGCGACCGCAGCGCCGCCTGGCGACGTGACATCGTCTTTTCCCCTCCTTCTCTGTCAACAGTAGAGTATATAACCTGTCCTCTACTGTCATCCCCACCGTTCGAAGCGGTAGGATTATGGTGGGAGAATTGCGGTGGGGTTTGGCCCTGTGTGGGGTGTGGGAAGGCATTCTAATTCAACACGCCACCCATGATGTTGGCCCGACGATGACAGCTCCCATCCCGGCTTTGATATTTCACCGCTTTTACAGCCGCCATCCCCCTCCTTTCTCCTCTTCCTTCTCTCTCTTCAACGCTTCCGTCCTTTACTCTCCGCGCCTGTTCCCTTCCTGGGTAGCCGGGCATAGCTACCTCGACACGGAATCGTCCCTGCCAGCACGGCAACCCGATATTTTATACCGTGAAACCTGTCTGTCTCTCCGACCGACCCCGCTTAATAAGCAGCTTTCAAAATAGAAATGTAATGGGTCGGTGGGGAAGGGAATGTCGAGTGATTGATTGCTCGCTCAGCGACTTACCGACTTGCCACGGCCCACGGGGTAACGAATGACAGCCACTTAAGCGCTGTTTGCCTACAGTTTTGTAAAAGCGTTTTAATTATCGTTCCGACCGCACCTTGACTTTGTCGCGCGCATCCAGTCACCGGATACTAAGCGATCCAAGCTAAATACCAATCTTTTCTTTCACTTTTCTACTCGGATTCGATCGTACAACAAAATCGTTGATACTATTTTCTTACAGATGAATGACCACTTTATTTGCAAAATTTTTGATAGCTTAAAAGTAATATTAATTAATCAAAATATATTCCAAATATTATAAAGTATTAGTTGCCTTTATTTGTAAAGATACAATGCACGAATTTTATTCTGCTACATTATTTGATGTACAATAAACGAATATGTACGAAGATTTAATTTCACAAATGATGTTCATAATGGTTTCGTAGGCAACAACTATAAAGTAATTTCGTAATATTACGGAAAACATTGATGTTGGTGTTCTAAAATATTCATTGCGTATTAAAGGTTACTGTACACTCGCCAAATGTGCTCGTTAAAAAAATTTGAATACCAGCTGCGTTGAAACTTGAACGTTCCGCGCGGTTAAGAGATTGCAGCCGTTTCGCTTTTAGTACAACTTGGAGCGAAATATAATTACGAATTATAATGTAAACTGCAAGCGGGAATAAGATAAGAGAAGCTTGGTGTAATGATAGTTGAAAATCTTTAGCTTGTATGTTGTAACGATATGTAATTGAAAAACGAGCTTCGAGTTGTACGTTTAATTTCCCCTATCCCCTAATTATGTAATAATTTTTTCACCTTCAATTTTTCAATGAAACTTTTTATAGACGAAAACCATAAAAAGATGTTACTATGATGGTGCAAAATATTGAAATAGAATCTTTGAATAGAGAGAACAGGGGGTAGAACGATTGTATCGGCGTTCACCTTCGTTGAATTTTCATTTTCAAGTAAACAGTTGAAGACAAGATAATATTGAGTCTATCAATCGTGTAATATTTCCCAGAAGAAATAAAGGTTTCTTGGAGATCTACTTTCATGGAATATTTGTCTTTGTCTCTTCGTATCTTTCTCCTTCTCGCTCCCTCTTCCTCGTGCTCCGTTTCTGTGAAGTTATGGCGCCGTTAATACCCCAATGGCAAGTCTTTGACGTTTTGACGCTGACGGATGAGTTTACGGCTAATATAGTTCTCTTTCATCTTCGCCGCTCCTTCTGTCCACGTTTCGAAGATTTCTAAACGACAGCTACAAACCGGATGAAAATTCAGCTTTGATGTCTTATTGATGGGTGCATCTACATAAACAATATTTATCGGTGTACCGTGTTATAGCTCAAACATTATTTATTAATTGACGTAAAACATCTGTGATAATATTATCGTAATTACGCTGCTCTTTCTATTGTTACGAATACATTAGCCGTAAAACAGCACGTAACTAAATATTAATTTTTAACGAACGACGTAACGAACGATTGCATAATACAGTAAAAACTTTGTTAAATATCCCAGTGATATTTTAGATTTTTTGAAAGCTTAAAACAGTAAAGAAATTAAGCTTAGACATAAATGACCCAATTTTCTTACGAAATATAACAAAATACAACAGCAAGGTAAATTTCGAGATACGCGGTGCAATTATAAGTCATATTTTACATTTCTTTTATTACGTCCGAATGGTAGTTTGAAAATACGTTCAGCAATGATAGAAAAGTGTTCCTGCATGAAACTTATAACTGACATTATCAATGAATTCAAAGAGAAATAGGTAGTGCAATAAATAACAGTAAGAGTCCAGTTTTACAAGACAAAGCAGTACATCGCATTTCGTACTATTTGTTGTGACAGGCTAATAATACTCTAAGCCATTGTCAACCCGGATTAGGGCACTGGTTACACACCGATACCTCCTTGTAACTGGGATCAAAGGATCGAAAAGGGTCTATTTTAAAAGTTTTTATAAAGGACGTCGTAAAAACTGTGTTTAAAGCCAGGGGGAGCCATAATAATCGCCAGAGCAATATAGCTAAGCAAAGAATTATGTCGAAATGTCCTAATAAACCTTACGCTTCCTCGATTTTTATTTCCGAGAACAGGTCAATGTCTTTTTTATTCTTGAAAAAAAGAAAATTAAACTTCAAATTAACATTATGAGAGGTTATCCAAAGTTTATAAAATTATTAAGGAAGAAACTCCTGAAACTTCGAGTAGTTCTTTCTATTGGCGATATGAATTCACTTTGAAGACAATAGATATTAGAACGCTGGATAAAAGTATAAAAATGCTGACAAGCGAATAATAAAGGAGCCAGTCAGTCATTTTGAGAGATGGTTTGGAATTAAGATGGCGAGCGAAGAAGGGGGTTAAGGGAAGCTAAGGAAAAGTTGCCCGGTGAGCCGTGAAAGGGAAAAAGATGGATGAACGCAAACGCAATTGGCGTGCACAAAGGAGAAACAGAATATGCGGCCGATAATAAATCATAGAAGTCTTCTTTCTTCCCTTACCTCTTACCCCCTGACCTCTTCAAAGCGTGCCATTGCTAGAAGACGTTCCATCATTATCTACATATCGCTGCACTCGAATGTAACCCATCCTTGTATCAACTTTTGATAAAATGTGACCCGAATGACGTGTGCATTTATATTTAAATTTTCAGCTAGCTATCAATGTTTAACATCGCGTTTGCACCAAGAATGTAATAAAAACTGAAATCTTTCTTAGACTACCTAACTTGTTTCAAGACTTGCTGCTGCACTTTTTACATTTCTTGTATTTATATAAATTTTTTATCATTTACGGAGAACACAACTGTGTTATTTCTTGATAATTTGCTGAAAGATTTTTTATTTTTCTATCAAATGGAAAAGAGTAGCCGGTAACGAGTCGTGGCACTACCATTGTGCGTGACTAATGGCTTCCGTAGGCAGATAATAAAAAAATTATCATTTGTTGCAATAATAAGCAACTAACGAACCTGTAATTATTCGCGATATAATGTTTCAGTTGCGTGATCATCAAACGGGTCGTTCGATTGTACTTCCGCCGGTATGTGACAGCTGATAGGTTGACCAGGAGAAAGGTGAGGAGAAAGATAGGGGAAAAAAAAGAATGTACGCGGTAATAATAATAATAGTTGGCAGGAGTGAGGGAGGTATGGAGACGTAGACAGAAATACGAAGCTGGTGCAGCACAGACAACTCGGCAAGGGCCTCGTTGCCTCATGTTTAAATCAGCGATAACGAGAAGCCTTGGTGACATATGTCACTGTCGCTGTCAGCCGGCTACACAATCAATATAGTCACCCACCCGTCCGTTCTTTCGTTCGTTCGCGTTCGTCCGTCTGTCCGTCTGTCCGCCAGCTAGCTTGCTCTCAGCCTGCCTGCCTGCCTGCCTGCCTGCCTGCCTGCTTTTCAACCTTCACATGCATAGACCGTACTCCAGCCGATAATGTATTCGGTACGTGACTTCGTATTCGACAAATACAAGAGCGTCCCCGGTCCGGTGCGGCGCGACGACGACTCGGCCACGACCCGGACCAACAAGCATTGCCAACTACACGTATGTATCTCTGCCGCTGGCCAAAACACATTTGCTTTTATGGAAAAACGAATTCACGTAATAGCAAGATTCCCTACTATCCAAACGACTACTTTCGTTCCTCGTTTCCATTTTGTTGCTGGATAATCGCGGTATACGACATTTCCTGTTACCTCGTCACCGTTTATTGCCTGCTACCATTGTGTCCGTTTCAATTTACGTCTTTATTCCGCTTTTATCGGATAAAGATTAGGTAAACTTTTTTGGAAGTATGAAATGCAGGAAATTGAGCAAATATGGTAAGACGTGCTCGTGAATAGGAGTTACGGGCTTATAGGGAAATCTGGTAGAAAATTAGAGACTTATATAATAGTTCATGATAAATAATGATAGTATACAAACGAAAGAATCTTCAAATTATTTATACTTAACAAAAATTAATTTTTTAATACAGAGGAAATTTATAAAGTCATTGGATCAATTAATGACTTAATTGAGGAAAAAGATAGTCACAATTTATTAATCGTACTTTGACTGCTCTGTACATACGTATGTCAACAAACAGTTTTATCAGTGCCAACCAATAAAAGGTGGCTTATCAATTAAACGACTTGCCAGAAGGTGTACATAACATGTCCAATTGATAACAAGTACTCGTCAAGATGAATCATATCAGACTATCAAAAAACATTCTATCGATTGATTATAAAATTAATATTTTGATGTAATAAACAAATACTCAGTTTTTTTTAATTAATCCTATGCATTTATATAGATATTCGTAATGTTAACGTACAATAAATCTCTATAAATTCTAATTGCCCATAGCACAAACGTCTGTTTGTACGCTTATAAATATGAATGAACTGAGGTAAAACACGAAGTGTGGAGATATAAATCATGTTTAGCATACTCAAAGGCTGAACACTTATGTAAATCGTATTAATTTGTATGATAACAGTTAGGTCACCATACGTAATTGTAACAGGTGTGTACGATCAGATGGTATGCCTCATCGACCTACATAGTAATATATTTTCTTCTTAATGCATCTGTACAATCAATTTAACCTATATTTCACACACTAGAACATTTTTAAAACGTATCATTTGAAAAGGTATTAAAGTAACTCAAATAGATTCGTCGCTTAGAATAATTTATGAATATTCTTGAACAAGTTTAGCTCCAACGGTATAAATTCAGCAAACCCTTAAAAATACATAGATTTCGTTTCAATATAAAATAGATTTGCCGGATAGAAACATAATATTGCGAGCTGTCGAATGAATGAATTAGCCTGTAGTGCCACTGTGTCACATCTGACGAAAAAAAGGGTCATTCGAAGGGAAGCCTCAGGTATACGAAATTTATTATAGGCACCGTACACCGGTATCCTCGAAGCTCCGCTCGAAACTATACCCCAGGGATCATATTTTATGTTTTAATCTCTCCATTGTTCCAGGTATAACGGAGTTTAGAAGGAAAAATAATGCCTACTCGGAACACACAAAGCTGTCGGCCATAAAACACCCATGTCAGGTCACCCAGCCAACGCGCAGGCGTGCACGACCTGCATTTTTATGTCCACGGCCAGATCCGCGTACAGATTTTCTCGAAAACGCCGGATAAAAACGTGAACGAAGAGAAAGGAAAAAAAAAAAATATGTACGCGAAACGTAACGTCACAATGGTGTCCAGCTGCTGCATGCAAACTCGTTACCTATGGCTTGTCCACCTATCTATTTGAATCTTTTCCTATATTTCTAGCAAGATTTGCTCATTTATTCAATTTATTGTAACTTATAACGTGACTAAAAGATATTAAATACCAATTTCTTTAGAGAAACACTGGTAGACCCAGATTTTTAATCGGATAAAATTTCCCACACCAGTAATAAAAAATGAGTTTATCTGAACTTCTCTTTAGATTATGAAAGCTGCTGCCTCCTATAAATTAAGCATGCTTTAATGGCTGTTAATATAATCACTTGAAAATTTATTTAATCTTCTATTATTCTATCAAGTTTTTAAATCATATTCTACTTAGAATTTTAAGAACAGAAAATATCTGCCTAGAATGTACGGTGGATGTTATGTACTACATTTTACAACGTTTAATGGTTAAAAATCACATTATTATTTGTTAAATGTCCTGGCAAAATCTATACAATTCATCAAAGATACCTATATATATTTACATTTTACGCAAGGAAGCGGGATATCTCAGGCGCTGGATATGCTGTGTCAGTATTTGCCAGCATTTCATTAAAAAAGCATTTTTGCAAGTTACAGAGAATAAAATATAGCCTTATAGTTTAACCCTGAAGAGGTAGTAGTAAAAATTCCTTACTTAGAACGTCCTAAGCCTCCTGTAATCTTTTAAGTACTACAAACATGTTTATGTATCAAACAATAGAAATAACATAGGCATTGTGTGCGCATTGATACAATGGATGAATTTGATTTACGATACGGTTGAATACCCATTATGCGAAATCAATGGAGGACATAATGAATTTTCGGATTTAATTTTATTTGATTACAGTTATGAAACATGCATCCATCCCTTTTCCTCAATAAAATTGTAATTGAAACGTGCGAATATAAACGATATTCTGATAACGGGAGATGGAATAAAAGAGATTTTGCAGTATTAATAGTATTGTTATCTTTGACAGAAATTTCTAAAATTATGAATTGAAAAATTAATTAATCGCGTATAAAATATTTAGCAATAGAAGCCTTAAATACGACAATGATATCACCGTTGTTAAAGAAAAAATTTTCGTTGATCCAGATTAGACGAAACAAAAAGACAGACGAATACGAGTCTGGTTAACTTGATAATTTCACTTCCCGAAAATCGGCATTTTGTGCTCTCTACTTATCTGGCGCCTGGGATCATCGCGAAGGTTAACATGTCCCGTGCCCTTAGGGTCTACTAGATGATGTTATGTCGTTCATCTATGACTAATTTACTCTTACCCGAGTCCCTTCTCTTCAACGTCCTCGCTGGTATTATCAGGGAGGGCACCCTGCCATTATCGTAACATCCCAACCCTATCCTCTGGGATAAAACTCGGGACCGCTAATTATTTCGGACAAAATGACCCCACGGCCACCGCGTAATGACAATGCTGGGAGAACGGGCGCCCTACAGGAATCGTGTTATTAAAATAGGAAGCATGATGATACGTTTCTGATGCTAACGTGGACGTTAAATTGCTTCTCGCATTGATGATGAATCACTAAAGGTACCGCGTTTTTATAACTATTAGCGAGAATGTCGTTAGCGACCACCGAATCTTCCAAATTTTACCTTCAAATAAATTTATTTCATGAATTTGTTTTATAATCTTTGACGTTGCTTTTCTCAATATACCTCATATTTTGTGCATAATTAATGTTAAGAACGTTTCCATAGAAATAGGGGAGCAGAAAATATGTCTTCAGCTTCTTAATAGAGCATTAATATTGTTCTACCGGAGGGTAGTAGCCTCGAACACGAGGGTAATATGTCTTTCTCAAGTTCGTCCCGAATTTTGGAAGAGTCGTGTGTAATCAGAGACGACATCTTGTCTCCGACGGTAGGAGAAGTCTTGGCGTCTCGTCACTCGGCCGTCTGCTTTCAACACGATGCCTGTCCCTTATTCGACGCTAGACGCCGCCTCCCGCACTCCCGACCGATATGCCGACTCTCCGCGCAGGAGAAGCCATTGAAACGTGAAAAGCTGTCGTGACAGCCGATCCTAACTGTTTTGTTAGGATATTACTCGCGGACACGAAATACCACGATTTTATTACACCAATTAAATTGACTATATCTTCGTCTTTCACATTCTATTCCAATTTATTTCATGCTTTGACGAGTGATTAAATACTTCACGATAGTAATCGTTTACGGAATTTAAAAGGATAAAGTAAAATAAAATAAAACATAAAACTGTGAAAAATTTGAAAAATTGAATTTTCGGCAAATTTCGTCTTTCAGATTTTCGAATTTATTTGATTCTCGCCAGAGGAAACGTCAAATAGGGCAACACGGGCTAACGAAATATCCTGGCAAATAAACACGACGTACCAGCATTAACGGTTTTTTACGCGCGTTTTTACACAGCCCTCTTTCAAAGTCAGCACGGTACAACGCTGAAATTACCGGCGACGCGGGCATAGGGCAAGGGAATGTCGGCTTTTGAAATATGACAAACACACGTGTGTTGTCCATGGGTAAATTTTGTTTATATTCCAAGTTGTACGGGTGTTGTTCGCCGCGTCGGCACAACGTGCTCCTTTGATGAGGAGAGACGAACCGTATAAGAGTCGTAAGCTTCGTGCAAACGTACGCGCAGATGAAGGGAACTGCACACGGCTTGTATTCATTCAATTTGTGTTTATCTTGTACGCACAATTTGATTATAAACATTTATTCGTTTACCTTCTACAATTATAGTACAAAATGTGTATTATTAATAATTCACAAGAAAAAAAATTTTAAGATACAATATATCACATAGGATAGATTAAAAAGATACCCTGATCAATTTATTGATAATGATTCAAGCTTATCAGGACTTTTGGCGTTTGAATGAAATTCGGAGCGACTCAAAGCTTGTGTATGCTTGAATTGCTTGAAAAGTTGCAAGAAATAGTTTCGAGTATCCACCGTTAGTTGTTCTTCATCGTTAGTAACAAGAATCGCGGCTGCCAAGGCGTAAAACACAACTGCTTCCGAGAATGCTGTGTAATTTGTATTTGTCGTTGAGATGCACGCATAAAAGCGGATTCGCGTAATAGACAACATGACATCGTCGGCGACGTAGAACGCGTTTTCGTCCTGATGTACGATACCTGGCGTATGACAGCCGTGATTTATCAGCTACCGAACAGTTCGACGAAGCCTGCTGAAATTGAAGAGGAGTTCTATTTGAAATATTTTCCTACAAAAACATCGTATGCCTTTTTCATCCTTTCTTTACTGCTTCGTGCCGTTATACGGAACTGAGGTATTGTTGTTGCGTTTTGACGAAATAAAAAGAATCGGGAAATCATCTAGATTTAGGAGATAGAAAAAGATAATTAAATAAATGAATCGCGTGATTTTGAAAATATTTAATTCATCATTTTATGAATAAAATTATTCATAAAATGGCGAGGTCTGCCTTTGTCACGCGCGAAATCAGAAGTTATACAATTACCAGAGAACGTTACGAACGGTAGTCACGAATCAGAGCGTTCATTTGTCTCTAACCAGCTGACGAACGGAACGCGTGTATATCGTCGCCTAACACGCTACCTACCACGCTGACAATGAACGCTGTTTGCCAGCTTGAATGAGACGCGCGATACTTATCTCCGAGACTCTTGTCCGCTCCGCGCCTTCCTATCTTTCATCGCGAACGTACAATAATTTAAACCGATCCTTTTCACCCCTCGTTGACCGAACTTCTGATGTCCTCTTGTCGTTGATTCTACTATTTACTACCCGATGTGTAGATGCAAGGGAACTACTGAATACCTGATTAACTCTCGAACGGTCTTCGTTAAAATAATTAGAAAAACAGCTGTCGTACGCGTCTAATGAATATGGTCATTTTTAATAACGACGAATCCACTTGTCTAGCTCGATGAAAATTTTCAAACGATAAGTTAATTCATCTCTAGCGGTAACGGGTTAAATGATGATTATAAATTAACAAGAAACTTTTAGACAATCGAACGTCCGGCTGACAGAAGAGTAAAAGCTAGACAGAAAGCTAGGCAATTACGTTGAAAACCGATGTTCCATAGGATTAAAACGCAAAGCATATGGCTACGCAGGGACGCTCGTCAAACTCCTAAATCATAGATGTCAACGATGCCGATAGACAGCCGCGCTATCCGCGATTCGCGAAACCGAGGTGAGCAAAACAGGTATAGAGGTAGAGGGAGGGAGAGAGAGGGTGAGAAGTGAGAAGGAGAAAGGACAACCGCGTTGCGGAGTGACAAGCGGACGTAGTGAGAATGACACACTCGTTTCCATTTGAGCAATTTCAGCGCGACACGAGGCCGAGACGCTGCAACGGCCACGGTTGTCTTGCCATCCGGGGGAACGGAGGGAAGAAAGCCGACGAAACGCCAGGAACAAAAGAGACGAGACAGGGTCTGTGGGGTGCGCAAGCTGTCACCTGCATCGTGTTCTTGGCTCTCCGTTTCTCTCTGCTTCCTCTTTCTTCTTCTTCCTCTTCTTCGTACCAACTTTAGTCTCTCGCTTTAAGCTCGTTTCACACTGGTCACATTTTACAATCGCCAATGCTACTATTACAGGATGAACGCATTACAGTGTGAAAGATATGTACTTACAGTAAATATTAGCTCTCTAATAAAAAGATCGGATGAGCTAATTCACGTGCACCATTATGGAATGGAATACAAATATGGAATGATCATTTTATTTTTAGATGTACAGAGTTTTAAAATAGTCATGAATATAAAAATCGAATACAGAAATTTGGGGGATTTCTGTTTTTTTTTTTTTTTTTTTTTTTTTACCCGACTGTGCGACAGCAAAGACAGCTGTTGTAGCAGTTTTTCCTTCCATATTTGTCTAATTTGTTTTAAAATGGCAAATGATTTACGAGAAAATAGCCGATTTGAAACCTGCTTTACTCTCTTTTCTCCCATACTTCATTCCTCTATCGTTCTATCGTGAAACTTTGCTCATTCTTTTCACGATCCAGTAGCAAAGTCTGGTCTTTCTTCGCCACCATATTCGTATTTCTCTTTCTCGGTCTCTTCCGTAGTTCATTTCCGTCTTCTGTCCGTGACTCTATCCTGTTCACTCAACGACTGGTTGCTCTGCAGGGGTACAATAGCTACCGGCAGTGTCCCTGTGTCCCTGTGTCAGCGTGCAGCATGCCTAATCACCCTTGGGCAGCCGTCTGCTATTGAGATGTTTAATTAACTCTATTGTGATCCTTTTTCGGAACGCGAATCCAGCCGTACTGACGATTATTTTCAACGGCGTACCGACGCCAGAGGCGTCTTATCTACCGGGAATCACGGACTCTTTGTGTCTTTGATCTCACCAACGTCGGAATCGTCCCCCCTTCCGATTGCGTTTATTATTCCACTAATACCATCGCTCACGATAAAACTGCACCTTCCTTTGGCGACTAGAAATAAACTGATCGAACGAAAAATCATAGCAATATTTTTGGCATTATTATAAATATCTTGAAACTAACACTCCAGTAATAAAGTCTAAAAACTAATTACATTACGTAAATGAAAATTCCAGTTTGTTTGAAATTTTGTGGACCGTGCACG